GAAGCCTCTTGGATGAGGGGCGAAACGTTTCTTTTTAACAAAAAAAACGAAGTCCAGATGACATGATTCAACCTTTTTTGTTGTAACTAATAGTTTAGTTTTTCCTGTGACTTATTTGCTGTATGATAAATGGTAGGAGCATAATATAAGCTCCCAATGTTTTGTTGGTCTTCTTTTTGTAAATAATTATCTTTTTTTGTGGTTTTATTTATTTATTTTTGTATCTTTAGATCCTATGATGTCATCAAGTACTCGAGTTCCACTCGAGTTTTATTATGTTAATGTCGAGTTTAAAAATGATGTAGTCATTCAACCCCTAAGATATATATATATATATATATATATATATATATATATATATACACAAACACACATATGTAGAGAGAGTGAGAGAGAGATATCAGCCATCTAGGGTTTTGATGTTGCAAACCAAATTTTGATAGCACCTTAAGCCTAGATGTAGCCAAGCACCAAACGTAAGACGGTCCCTCACTTAGTTTTCAAATTATACAACTCGTGACACTGACTAACTGATTGACAGATGGACAGACAGGCAGATATATAAACAGGTATTATGGGTGAACAGAGGTATTTTCACTTCCCTAAATGGTATAATGGTTCCAAATAATAAAAGTCAAATCAGGTGTTTCTGATGAAGCTGAATAGCTTTGATATACAAATGGTTAAAACAGCACAAAGTATGCAGAACTAATTTGATTGCAAAAATGTACAGAAGAAACTATAACCGTGAAATCCAAAAAAGTTATATCTGGTCCTTTGGACATTCAAAAAAACGAAACCAAGCAAAACAACAAAAACAAAAAAAACGTAGAAACGTTTCGTCTTTCATCCGAAAGACTTCCTCAGTTTGGATGAAAGACGAAACGTTTCTACGTTTTTTGTTGTTGTTGTTGTTTTGCTTTGTTTTGTTTTTTGAATGTCCAGAGGACCAGATTTAACTGTTTTGGATTTTTCTACCTGGATCATTGAACATGCATCAGGATATAAACATGAAACCAATAGTACAACTTCTGACTCAGCTGTGCCACAAATATAATTCCATTAGGGATTACAAACTTTTAATTGTTTCAGTAAATGTGAATTATTGGAAGGTAATGTGTCTTTCCTATGACTCAAATTCTTGACAATCCTGTACTGAGCCTGTTTGGTTATTAGGCGTTGTTGTGTCTGTATTACAGACATATTGCGTTGTATTGTACCTTTGCATCCTTCAGGTTCATTACTGAGGCCAAAGTAAGCTGGTTTGCAGCGCTCGCAGCGTTCACCCTCGACATTGGCTTTACAGCGACACTGACCAGCAATGAGACCAGCTCGAACGTCCGTCATGCCGTCACAGATACCTCCGTGTAGAGAGCCCAGAGGGTCACAGCTGCAGGCTGCAAACACAAAACAGTCATCAGGATCAGCAGCTGCATTAAATCACATTTATATCCTAAATAGACCCAAATAACTAAATGATTTCTGACATAAATGTCAAAAGACTTTATGTAAAAGATCTTCAAAGACATTTTTATAAAATCTGAGCATATCACGCACTGCCTTCCGTGCTAAAAGTTTTAAACTAAGAACATGTTATGATGAGAAATGACAGACTAAACAGTTTTGGTCAAACCTTTACAATGAGCACCCTCATTAATTTCAAAATATTTGTTGAGAATCACTCTCAGCTACTGCCACACCAAATTTTAGTTAAATATTTGTAAATCTAACGGATGCTGATTAGTTCACCAGTTAACCATAATGCCTTGTTCTGTTATCATGAAGACATCTGCAGGGATCACACATGTAACACAGTAAAGGTGCAAACTCTAAAAGTCAGAAAGGAAATGTGTGAAGCATGACTCTTGCATGCATAAAAAAGTTGAGTTGATCCTCTGTGGAGGTCTGAGCTTGGACACAACCTCTCAGCACACCAAAGATCTGCAAAAGATCACCACAGATCTGGCAGATCAAAACATTCCTCCATGTTTAGTCTTTTTTCCAACCTTTTATCTTCTGTCATTAAAGACCTGAACTCTGATGCTCGAGATAAAACCTTTCTTCTCTGGAAATGCCACGTCGTTAGAAATACTGGTACTTTTAAGATGACACAGATGACAAGAACATCAAACGCAGAGGTAGCTGAAGCTTGTTGCTGAAACCTCCACAGCTCCAGGTTCATGTGTGTGAAGAAAAACAAACTTAATGTGGAAGTCTGTTAAGCCAAACCTCTTCCATTCAAGGGAACTTTACCCACAGACCCATCACATCAAGCCTCCATCATCCATTATCTTTACCCACTTCTTCCTTTTTGGATTGCGGGGGTTACTGGTGTCCATATCCAGCCATCACTGTGTGAGAGGTGGGGGACACCCTGGACAGGTCTCCAGCCCATCACAGGGACACATAGAGAAAAACGAGACAACCATTCACTCTCTCACACCTAGAGACAATTTAGAGTTATCAATCAAACATGCAGGTTTTTGGTCTGTGGGAGGAAACTGGAGTACCCAAAGAAAACCCACACAGCACGGAGAGAACATACAAACCCCACCCAGAAAGGTCCCTGGACGGGATTTGAATGGCAACCTTCTTGCTGAGAGGCGGCAGCTCTACCAACAGCTTCCCACATCAAGACAGTAGTTTTATTTCAGAAAAATAACCGAGTTAAAACAGACACTTACGACTGCAAATGTTAGGGTCTCTGATGTCTCTCTCCGGATGCTGGTAGTAAAATGGTTTACACTGCTCACAGTGGTGCCCAGTCGTGTTGTGCCGACAGTCTTCACAGACTCCTCCGCTGACTTTTCCTGAAGCCAAGAACACGCCCATGTCGAAGTGGCACGAGTCTGAGTGTTGGTTACAGTTACACTCTGAAAACCACAGAAGAGAAAGATTCAGGTAAACACAGTTGATAGTCTGATTCAGACAGATCACGGTGACTATTCAGATATTTTAAGGGTCTCCACAAACAAAGTACAGCAAGATGAGAGACAGCAAGCTCATATTATTTTTACTACTGATTTGACTTCTTACCCATCTTGAAGCTGAGTATTTTGTCTTAAATTAAGCAAGAGCTCACAGCATTTTCATTCATTGTTGTTCTCCATGAGTTCACTTAGGGGCGGCTGTGGCTGAGTGGTTAGAGCAGTCATCCTCAAATGGGAGAGTTGAGGGTTTGATTCCACCAGCAGTCACATGCTTAAGAGTCCCTGGGCAAGACACTGAATCCCTCATTGCCTCTGATGTGTGTCCCATCAGTGTATGGATGTGATAAGGCTCTGATTATTCTTTGTATAGTTATAGTAGAGTGCTGTATGAATGGATAAATGAGGACACAGATTGTGTTGTAAAGAGCTTTGAGTATCTTGATTAAATAGAAAGGAGCTATATAAGTGCAGTCCATTTAGCATTTACAATTTATTTATAGTTCTTGCTGTATTTTGTTTTGCTCCAGCAAAGACCAGATGCTGAAATATATATATTTTAATTTTTAGAATCAGAGCTTTAAGTGCAGGAAGCAGAAAAAGATAATGTTAAGAAAGTTTTGAGATTTGACTGGGGAGAGGGTGAGCCACGGAGGCCATCTTATCACTAGCAAGCTGTTTTTTCCTGCTACAGGAGTGAGCTGTTTGTGGTGGGACTCAGTTTGTTTGGTGGCTCCTCAGACTGAAGAAGGACTTCGGATGTAGAATAAAACGTCTCAGCAAAAAAAGAAACCGTCCAAATAACTTGACTGAACACTGTTGGATTATTAACTGAATTGCTGAGCATGAATTTAGGTGTTAAGAAAGCTGTTTGTCCAGTAATGCACTGGAAACTACTGTCACGGTCAGCGGCCCCCGCTGCCCCCCCCATCTGCCTAAGCCTCTGCCTTCTCCTTCAAGCTGCAACC